ACACACACACACAACTCATCTATATACCAGCCCCTCTCGCCTTCTTCATTTGTGGTAACATGGTGTCCATGAGGTTCAGGCCCGTCTGCTTGTCGTGCTTCTTGAGGATCTTGTAGCAGGCCTCGGCGATGCTACCCACCTGGACCCCACCCGTTGTCGACGACGCTGACATTCCAAAAACAATGATCGCCGTTTGTCAAGTCCAAGTCGCTCTGGGTCTTGACCTATCTCTTCGAGGGTTTCCAACGCCCTCGAAGATCTGAGGGTCCAAAGATTTGTGGAACCCCACAGCTACAAGCCGCCCCTGCCAAGCTCCAGCCATGTCCTTTGGAAAATAACAAACGGATCCTCTTCACCTCCAGTGTCGCCGCGGGGTTCCCAGTGTCGTCCCCGTGGCCCCCACCAGCCGCCCCTTTGGGGCAGGCGAGATCCCAGGCGCCGTGTCGTTGGCCTCGCAGAAGTGGGTCAACTCTTGCAAGGTGCCTCCCACGCAGGGAGACGCCGGGGCCGGAGTGACTGGGTTAGGCAGTGATGGATGGAAGGACACCTTTGAAGACTGATCGAAGGGGAAGATGCAAAACCAGAAGGCTGTAGAGGAACAGTGTCCTTCAGGCACACTTTCAAGCTCATGTAGGGCCATCTCTGGAAGAACCACAAATATGGACTGAGACTTCAACAAAGTATTCAAAGAACAGGCAACAACCTGATATACCTGAAAAGAGAGGGGACGAAAGAATGACAGATGCATCTTCGAGCATTGGAAGTCAATTTTGCAAGCCGCTGCTTGAGATGCATTTTGCAGATCGGTGTGGGGGGGACAAGTTCTACAAACTCGTAAAGCGCAGCTGATCTATATAGATACGAGGAATCGGAGCTTCTGGTTGGTGCCCTTCTGCGCTTTGTTTGAGATCCGTCTCGGGGCCAAGAAGAGGGCACCTCTGAAAAAGTCTCCAGTTTCCCCAGAAAGGCAAGTCAGCGTTTAGGTACTGTCTCGGTGCCCAAAAAAATGCTACTTCGGGGAGCCCATTCTATTCTAGTGAGAAGAATCTTATCACCAGAGCCCGCTTTTTGGTGATGCCCCTTTAGTTTTGCCCCAGGCGACCGAGACGCGCATTTCTGCGACTGAAACGCTTTTCTGTGACTCCTCATCTATATAAATCTAGATCTCTGTGCATGGTTCGACTTCACACATCGCTTGACTCGTCTAGACGCATCTCATCTCCCCCGCACAGGAGGTCACTGTGGGAGGATGGAAACTGTTTGCCCGTGACGTTTTGAAGGGCAACTTCGTCCAGCCAAACCGCAGAACAACCAGAGCCACCACTCAACAGAAGGTCCCTCCAAGATTTCCATCATGAGGCTAAGAGGATTGATAGAAGAGATCCCGTGCGATTCAGGTGGTTGATCATGACTGCTCAACATGTGAGCTTTGGATGTAGTATGAAAAAGTGTTCTCCCAAAGCCACTGGATACACACAAATTCCACCCAAATAGTTACTGCCCCTTCTGGTCGATCAACATCGACTCCGCCACACGGTCCGGCAAAAAACGGTGCCTTGAAGCTCCTGCACCATCATCTGCAAGTGGTTCCGCAGTTGTGGCTCGTGCTCCAAGCCCTGGTTCTGCTGGAGCTCCTCTCTTGCAGCCTCCAATCGATCCTCCACCTGCAGGGGCCGGTTCCAAGTGGAACACCTGACTGCAGGGACCTCTCAGTCGCAAGTCAGTCGCCACTCCCATGGGATCCAAGTCCTTTGATATGCCTGGAAGGGATATAGTGGCAGGTGCTGGTCGGGGATGTTCCCCAATCTGGCGAAAACGCTCGTCTCCCACCTGCTCAGACATCGAAGTGAAGAACTCGTTGGTTCTCTCAAGAGATGCCCGCAGCTCACTGAGCCACTCAGAGCTCACCTGCCACGGTGCACTCCGGCAAAGAAGTCGCCCCGGCGTCACGTCGACCGATGGAAGAAGTAGGTGCATGAAGTAGGTGCTAGCTGTGTTACTGGGCGCCATCCCATTGCTCAAGATACCTTGGGGCGACCAAAAATGGGTTGCCTGGGATTCTTTATAGTGGAACAGACGCGATGCCAAGCATCAGAGTTCGCCTTCAACCTCCGTGTCCAATGCTTCTAGTCTTTGCAAAACCCCTGCATGAACCCTCACTCTGCATCAATTTGCACCCTAGAACAACACCACAAGCAGTTTTGCACTTGCAAATGGGCAAGTTGGGTATGTACCAACACACTGTCAGACAGGTCACCACAAGTGACTTTAAGAAGTATCCTGAGGTGATTGCTATGATAAGCACCTTCAACCTCTCAAAACACCAAGAGTGTCAAACGCGCCAAAAGCTTGAGCCTTCCAAAACTGCTTCCTTTTCTTCTTTTCCAGGGGTGGCATGCATAGCAGAGGGCCCTCTGCAGTCCTCTTTCTAGTTGACCTTCGCACACACCGCTTCAGCGCCATGCCCGGCCCCACACACCCGGCGCCTGGGCTTCCTGATCCAAGATGTCGCCAGTTGGGCTACCGCGATCCTTCAGCGACTTCTTTAGGCCATTGTAATCGATGTAGAACGCATCCCATCCACGAATCTTGTGCCGATCCAACTGCTTGCCAAACTTCATCTCTCCATCAAAAGCATCGAAAAACCGGCCACTTGCCTAATTTCAGCCCAAAGCTGCAGCAAATGTGAGGCACACATCAAGGCACACATGACAGAGAGAGAGAGAGATATAGAGAGAGAGAGGGAAATGGATATATATATATACACACACATAAGTAAAATAAAAGAGCGTGTGTCATATAACCAAAGTTTCCAGCAGCTCAACAAAAGCACCCTCGGTTCCACAAAGGTATGACAAACAAAAGTGGCTTTGAGCCCCTTGGCGCCCACCCTGATCTTCCCACACCTCGACTGGCGCTTGCGCCACTGCTTTCAGAGGCCCACCCAGTGCAGAAGTCTTCTCAACTTGCCCCATGTACAGCAAAACCAAAGCCTACAGTGGCCTACAGCCTACATAAGTAGATCGCCCATCAATTCCCCTAACAAAGCCTTCACAAAAAGCGAATAGCATATATACTATCTTGTGTATATATGTTGCAGGGAGTCTCGCTTCGCTCGCTTCGTCGCACCTCTTCCGTGTCTTCAGCCTCGGCGACTGGTCCATGGCACTGGCGTCCTGGGCTGACCACCTCAGCGTTCGAGAACCCGTGTGCGCGGAGAAAACCCGCGCCACGTGTTCTCACCGGGCAACGCGGGCAAGGTTCTGGGGAGCCCCGGCTCAACCCCTAACTCTTCCTCAGCAAAGTCTGCCTCGGTCCAAGGCAGCTCCTTCCAGCGCTGGAAGCCACCTGGGTCGGATCCCCTGCCGGGTTTTTGCTCGGTCCCGGTGCGAGGAGACCTTGAAGGTAGATGAATTGGAGCGAAGGGAACAGCTCTCTGCTTCAAACCGATCCAACCCATGCTAGATGCCACTGGCTTATATGGTGGTGGTTTCGGTGGGGCAAGAGTGAAAAGAAATCAGTTGTGCGAGTTTCCAGTTTCATTAAATGTTTTCTTGGAAAGGACCATCTACCCGGGCTGTGGACCCCCCCTCTCTGGAGAATCAAAAGATTTGGAGTCTTGGAGATCTTGAACCACTTCCGCCACCTTGGGATCTGCGGAGTGTTTGAAACGTGCGGGCGTGGAAGCACAAAAAATAACAACTTGAAAGAAGATGAGGCAGCAGGAGCACTCACCACCCATGAAATTGGCAGCAGAGGAGAACTTGAAGAAACATTTGCCAATGGCCTCCGAAAACTTTTCAGAAATTCTTTTTGACTTCTTACTGGCTCCGTGTCTTTCAGCCGGAGGGGACCTGCAGAAACAACATCCGTACGCAGCACCGAGGAAAAGGCGCAAGACGCGCCTTTCCTAATACACCAGCGGAACCACCACATGCCCAACGGTCAACAACGCAACGCGGCATGAAAAAACCGGGAACCCAGAAAGAGAACACCATAGAAAGACCTTCCGTCTCCTAGTAACAAAGCCTTTAAAGGGCATTGCTTCTAGTGACCAAGGGGCATTACGACGAGTCGTAGCACGAGTCGCTGCGCACGAAGCTGGGTGCGTCGCTGGTGGCTGGGAGCGTTTCGGGGCCCCGGCGAAGCCCATCCTCACGGTTGGCCTTCCAGACCTCACGGGCTGCCCGCTGCCGCTCTGCAGGAGTCAGGTACACCTGCAGAACGGGAGTCACGCCTTTTTGGAGGAAACCTCGTTGCAGAACACCTCCATTTTGGACAGAGAAACGGTAGGACAGTCCCCTTTTCCCGTAGACTAGAGTAGCTTGCCTTCTGTGGAATTCAACTGTAGAACACGTCTGTGAAAGGCATAGGGGCTGAAGACGGCATGTTGCCATCAAGATCGGAAACGAATGACGGACGTCGGACGACGGCAAATGGTCGCGCATCCCTCGGGAAGTTTGGCACATGGCCCACATCGCCACAAGGACCCGCTGTGCAGAATGAAGTTGGTGTGATCCCATTGTCACGCCCTTCCCTTCACAAACTCTTTGCGCCAATGATGAGGTGTTTCTAGTAGAAAAGCCGTCTTCGGCTTGGAATGTACCAAAAAAAACAAAAATTGTATGGGAAGCCCTCAATGGACCCCGGAGATCATGGACGTGAATATAGCCGTTGTTTATCGTTGTTTTGTTGGCCCGGGGGGTGTTCCGCTCCGTTTGCACGGACACCGCGGGGGTCAAACCCACCCGGCCTCCAGCGGATCGGATCCTCGAAACCAGGAGGCCGGCAAGGACTCGCCTAGGGAGCAGCCGATCAATGTAGAAGTGTGTATTCTACGGTATATACATATTGCAATATGCAAATGTATACAGTATCTACATTGTATTGTATACAGTGTGTTATATATACATTACACCGTACATGCCTGATCCCTCTCTGCAAAGTTCGAGGTCTCTCTTTTCTCTGTCGGGGGGGGCACCTCCGGCACCTGGTCTAGAAAAATCTTCTGAACTTCCACTCGCGTGTTTCAACGGGTGGCACGTCTGGCACAGCACCGCTGCGGCCAACGGCATCTGATGTTGTTCCGTCACACTGCCGACAGTTTCCATGAGTCTGACCCCACCCTATCCCCACCTCCCCACCTCCCACATAGATGGAAAACGCTCCACCACACCGTGGCGCTGCTTCCCGACCGGGCGACGCATCTCGCCGAAGATCTGCTTCTTGCTGCGTGCGTCGCTCTCGCCGGCGGCCTCTAAATAGGCCCGGTAGTAGCCGAGCAGTTGAACCTCAGGCCGACCAGGCGTCAAAAGGTAGGACTACGTAAAGACAGGGCCCACAAAACTGACAAATAGGTAGAGATCCAACTCAAGATATAGCTGTGGGCTACCACAAGGAAGCAAGAGAAGCAAGAACGAAAGGGGTGGCTCTTCAGGTGCCATGGCTTTCACATGCTTTGAGCCTTGCCCCATAGTCAAGGGCAATGGCAGGCACCCATTTGGGGCGCAGTGCCGTGGCAGTCTTGACGCCTTCTCCGAAGTCAACCATGACTGAACCTGGATACAACATCACCAGCCTGTATGGTGCCTGTTCCCTGCCATCCTTGGATTCACCAGCCGGAGCGTGCGGACCCCCCGGACCGCCCTAGGCCGTCGGACCCGCAAGTCCTCCCAGCGTCGCGGCTCCGCCCGAGTCCACAGCAACTCCTCGCTGAGCCGCACGGCGTTCGACCCGAGCCGAGCCGAGCGCGATCGGCGATCGGGGGAGAGAGATGGGAGACAACGGTCGGAAGAACGGGAGCAGAGATCGTCTCCATCCCATCCGGACATCATCTTGGCCGAGACAGGATCGCTTCTATGTCAAAAACGAATGAAGTGAAACTGATGTGCAAGACATTCCTCATTAGGGTTCGAGCCTCCTTGGTGGTCATGCTGCATAATGGGAAGTCCATACAAACCTTGACATTGTCAATATTTGACAGTATGATTGTTCAAAGGGGTTCTTCTCTGATGCACATCGTGTTGTTCTCCTATCCGACTTGGCTGCTCCTGAGCTGCAAAAGTCCAGCTACGCCAGCTTCTTTGGCTGGGCTCTGGTTCCGCAAGGTCCTCGCATTCGTTGGATGAAGGCCATGAAGGCCCGACGGGCTGCGCTTGTGCAGAGGTCTGTCTAGAGTCTGAGGAAAGGTGTCTGCCCAGAGGCCGTGGTGAGAATTGGCTAGGAGAAACCAAAAAATAAGGGCTGCAAAAGTCGCCCCTCACTGAGGAAACAACTGCCACTCGGCCACAGCCTCTCCTGGTAGGAAGGCAGCTCCTCCACTTTGGCAGACACTACCTCACCACTGCCGCCAGGAGAGGAGGCACCTAAAACCTGACCACTACGAGTAGCTGAGTAGCTTTTCCCAAGTCAACCTCCATGAGTCCACCATGACCATGACCGCAAGACTTGGCGATGCTCTTGGCCGAAAGAGCCCGGCTAGAGCAGAACACTTGGCCACCTCCTCAAGGTCCCGAAAGAACAAAAGGGGCGCTTCTGCCTCTCCTCGCTCCAAAGCGTGCCTCACCTCCGGCCAGTGGTGCCGAACTCGAACCCTGGAAGAGTGCCGAACTTGAACCCTCCGCCCCATGAAGGCCCTCTTCAGGCCGAGCGACTGCAGTGAGCGCCTTGGCCCGTTCGTCCTCTGCGATGTGGCGCACGCGCTGCGCCTCCACCTGCAGGCCGAGACGAGACACAGACCGATTGAAAATGATTGAAAGCGGGGGTGAGGACAAGGGCAACCACTAACTAGTGATGGATTCTGCAGTCCCATCAAGTACATTTAGACTTGGAGAATGTTATCATCAGGTCTTGGCCCCAAAGGTTAGGGCTTGCTCCACTTCAATGGACGGGGCCAATGCAACAAAGCCTAACTTCACCGCTGTCGAGGCCCAAAAGCAAGGCTCATGGCGAATGTGGCGTCCTTCATCCAACGAAACTGGGTGACTGTAAAAAGGAGACCCTCTTTGAGGGACTCCCCCCCCAAAAAAAACAGAAGAATATAACAAGAACTGGTGCAACTGCTTTAGCTATCTCTCCCTCGGGGAACGAACCAGAACGTCCTGGACCGAAAGAAACGGAGCCACCGTCTACAACCAACAAAGCACCAAATCATCGGGTATAGTGGTCCCCAAAATAACGAACCAGAACTTCCTGGACCGAAAGAAACGGAGCCACCGTCTACAACCAACAAAGCACCAAATCATCGGGTATAGCGGTCCCCAAAATAGATAGAAATATCGTAGAAACGGTGTCCACATGTGTCCACTCCATGTTTAGTGGGGATCTACTTCGATTCCCCCAAAAAAACGTAAAAGAAACTTCAGTGCCGTCTGAACCCTCCTGGCCTCTTCGAGACCTGCAGAGACGGCCTCCCAAAGCCTCGGCGTCCGACCGTCTGGCAGGATGTTGCTTTTCTGGGGGAATCGAATTGAATGGAATTTAATTCAAAAGGAACTAAATAGAATAAGATAGAACAAGATACAGCAGGCAGATAGATCTCAAAAGAATATCATATTGTGTCATTGTATATAGGGCAATCGGGATTGTGGGCCCTGGACATGTTAACCGTATAGATTTTTGCATTGGCTACGTCCGCTGCTCTCCAGAAGGAAACGCACACTGAAGGTTACCGATCG